CCTGTCTGCACCTGTCTGCGCCTGGGCGGGGCTGGGCGGGGCTGAGCAGGGTTGTGTAAATCAGTTCAGTGCTATGTGTGTCTGTGTGTCAGGGGTTGTGTGTGACTGTGGTTCAGGTCAGAGCCAAAGGGCAGAGGCTGTGTGTGTCACTCTCTTAGTGACAGTGTTGCTCACAGTGTGTGTGTGTTGTGTACCCAAGGCTCTATAGACAGCACAGTGCGTTGCTGGGACACGCGATCCAGGAGGCCCGACCCGATTCAGATTCTGGACGAGGCGCGAGATGGTGTGAGCAGTGTTGAAGTGTCTGAACACGAGCTGCTGACCGGGTCAGTACTGAACCAGCACTGCAGGATTAAACTGTCACTAACTGCAGTACTTTAACAGTGTCCATTCCTGAGTCAGTATGAAAGAAATAAAGATTAATTTTATTCAGACTCAAACCCTGTCTCCCCCCTGTCTCGTCAGGACTGAATTAGCAGTGTGAAAGGAATAAGGATTGACACCTGTATTCAGACTCCCTGCCTGTATCTCTCCCTGTCTCTGCAGCTCGGTGGATGGCAGAGTGCGGCGCTATGACCTGCGGATGGGTCAGCTGTTCAGCGACTTTGTAAACAGTGAGTGGCAGTGCTCCTGTTTCAGGGCTGTGCTGTGGAAATGGGAAATTAAGTGTGTGTTTGTCATTGACAGTGAACATGTTGGTGATGGTGTGTGTCAGTGAATGTGTGTGTTTGACAATGACGATGTGTGTCAGTGTCACATTTCTCACTGGAGTGCTTATCACCTCTGTCTCTCTCTGTCCTGCAGGCCCCATAACCTGTGTGTGTTTCAGTCAGGATGGACAGTGCACTCTCAGTGCCAGCCTGGACTCCACCCTCCGGCTGCTAGACAAGAGCACCGGGGAACTGCTGGGAGAGTGAGTGCATCACACTGTCCACCCTGTCCTCACTGTATTCACACTGTTCCCACACTGTCCACACTGTAATCACTATCACACTGAATATGCACTGTCCACTGTAGACAACTGTATTCACACTGAATATACACTGTATTCACATTGAATACACACTGTTCACTTTAGACATCTGTATTCACTCTGAATATACACTGTATTCACACTGAATACACACTGTTTACTGTAGACATCTGTATTCACTCTGAGTATA